TTCTATGGCTCTATGGCTCTATGATTCTATGGCTCTATGGCTCTATGATTCTATGGCTCTATGACTCTATGGCTCTATGATTCTGACTCTATGACTATGATTCTATAACTCTATGCCTCTATGACTCTATGATTATGATTCTATGATTCTATGACTCTACGACTCTATGATTCAGTGACTCTGTGACTGACTCTATGGCTCTATGACTATGATTCTGTGATTCTATGTCTCTATGATTCTATGACTCTATGATTCTATGGCTCTATGGCTCTATGATTCTATGATTCTATGATTCTATGATTCTATGGCTCTATGGCTCCATTGCTCTATGGCTCTATGACTCTATGATTCTATAACTCTATGTCTCTATGACTCTATGTGATTCTATGATTCTATGACTCTATGATTCTGTGACTCTATGATTCTATGGCTCTGTGGCTATGATTCTATGATTCTATGACTCTGTGACTTTATGATTCTGTGATTCTGTGACTCTATGGCTCTGATTCTATGCCTCTATGACTATGATTCTGTGATTCTATTACTCTATGATTCTATGATTCTGTGGCTCTATGACTCTGTGATTCTATGACTGATTTTGTGGCTCTATGTCTCTATGCTCTGTGGCTCTGTGGCTCTGTCTCTATGTCCCTACGACTCCATGTCTCTATGGCTCTATGGCTCTGTGTCTCTATGGCTCTATGGCTTTATGTCTCTATGGCTCTGTGTCTCTACGGCTCTGTGGCTCTGTGGCTCTATGGCTCCATGGCTCCATGTCTCTATAGCTCTATGATTCTATGGCTCTATGGCTCTGTGTCTCTACGGCTCTGTGGCTCTATGGCTCCATGTCTCTATGACTCCATGTCTCTATTTCTCTATGGCTCTATTTCTCTATGGCTCTATGGCTCTGTGCCTCTATGGCTCCATGTCCCTATGTCTCTGTGTCTCTATGTCTCTATGTCTCTGTGTCTCTATGGCTCCATGTCTCTATTTCTCTATGTCTCTATGACTCCATGGCTCTGTGTCTCTATGACTCTATGACTCTATGGCTCTATGACTCTGTCTCTATGGCTCTGTGGCTCCGTGTCCCTACGACTCCATGA